AGTATTGTGTTAATGGAGATAAAGCTGTTTTTCATCTTCCTGCTGTCACTATATGTAAACCGTTAAACAAACCTTGTAACTATCTTTGGTAAGAGAAGTAAAAGTAGATGCAACTTGCAGTAGTATTAAAACAGAAAAAGGGAATAAAAATGGTTAGCAAGGATAGGGGGAGGTAGCCCTGCGATAACATGTCTCTAGGTTGTCTCTTGGCTGTAGTTGTAATCCACATCAGGTCTCCCCTCCTTCTGAAGGACTCAGCTCTGATGAGATAATGGTGGAATATGTACTGTCTGGGGGATGGTGCACAGACATATCAGTCACATTAAAGGTCGCTGAAGCTTGAAATCTTTAGGTAGATCAATAATGTAGGCGTTGTCATTAATCTTGCGTAAAATTGGGAAAAGGACCGAACTTTCTTGGCCTGAGTTTGGAGTATGTGCATGGGGCAATTCTTTCTTTACGAAAACGCAACATGACGAGATCGTCTGGTTGAAAAACCTTTGGCCTTCTATGAGTGTCTGCGTGATGTTTGTATTTGGAATTGGTTTCAACTAATTTAGTTTGGATTGTTTTCAACATATCTGAAAAATTTTCAGTTGTACGGGCGGCTGCAAGACTTTTGCATTTTGGCAAAACTGCTATGTCTACTAGCTAATTTGGTAATTTAGTATATAAAACACTAAATGAGCTTTGACCGGTGGAACGATTCGACATAGCACTGAAAGCAAATTCAGCCTCACATAATAACTCCTCCCATTGTTTAGGATTTTGTTGTACCAAGCAACGAAACATACATCCCAATGTGCGATTAACTAGTTCAATTTATCCATTCGTCTGGGAGTAATAAGCGAAGCTAAGTTTGATATCAGTTTTAAGCCTCTTTCACAATTCTCTCCAAAAATGACCGATAAATTTAACGTTGCAATCATAAGTAATGCTACGTCGTAGGACATATAAGCGGATTATTTCCTTAAAAAACAAGTGAGCTATATGTAGAGCATCAAAAATTTTTCTTGCACGGAATGAAGTGAGCTATTTTTGAAAATCTATATACTACAATCATGATCGATTCAGCGCCTCTTTTGGTCCTTTGTAACCCCAATATGAAGTCAAAGCTATGGTCCTCCCAAATGGAATATGGAACGGGCAGGGGCATGTAGAGGCCGGTATTTTGAGCATTTCTCTTATAAGTTTGACAAACGGAACATTGTTAAACATCCCACGCATATGAGGCCAATAAAAATGGTACTGGAGCTCATATTAAGGAGATTCTAATTGATCAAATCTAAATGATTTTTGAAAACACTAAAATGCCAATATTAATAAGTTATGTTGAAGAAAGTAGGCCGAGGATATGATCCATGCCCAACGTTGATATAAGTAAATGGCTTCCCTTGGAATTAGGTAATCATATTTGTACTCATTCATCTAACTTGTACACACAAGATCGAAAGTTGAAAGAAGAAATTTATTCATTAATTCGAAGCTGCAAAACTACGTCTTAGATCATCTATTTATAGATTTTTCATCACTAGATTAGTAGATATGATTAACACAATCAGCCAAACTTCAATCTTACACTTAAATCTTATGATCTTATCCAAAAAATAGGGAATTTAAATTGTTGCATAGAATTCTATCTCATATCAATGGAAGCATATGAGGCCAATAAAAACGATACTGGAGCTGATATTAAGTATAAAAATTTAAAAAACTATTTTAAAAAACAGTAAAAAACAGATATCTAATTTCATGATCTTTTATCAGGAGTTGTTGACACTTCTTAAATAAGGACAACAAAACTAAGGCTCGCTTTAGGATAGCTTTTTTATTATTTTCTGAAATAATTTTCTACTCGTCCGATGCGGGACTTCTGCTTGTAGTCGTACTTTCGACAACTTCTACTCAATCCAGCGCCGACGCCGGCGCCGGAAACGACGGTGGTGAAACGGACTGTGAAGAAGTAGATGCTACATTTGGGAAGATATGGGGTTTCGCAGACGAGTTGCCGTAGTGTCATGATGGGCTTGAGTACTCTGCCTTTCGACTGGAAAGGACTGTGCAGAAGGAGATAGCTTATCATATGATGATGCTTCTCTGGCGGTTGTGGAGATGTGAATTAGGATTGCATTCGATTGCAAGCTCTTTCCTTCCATGAAACCAACACATTATCTGCTTTTGTTTTCTTCATATAAAAAAAAACTTACAAAAAAAAAAAAAAAAAAAAAAACATAGTACTAAATACTTGATAGACATTTCTCATAAACAAAGACATAGTACAACAATAGCCATCGGTATACTAGCCATCACACTCACACTCTCCCTCATCCTCCCTAGAAACACCTTCCCTGTCTTCGGCAATGTTTCGTGAAATGAAAGTCGGGGCGGGGTTCGTGAAACGAAGGTCGGGGTGGGATTTTGACGGGAGCTGACGGAGTGGTATTTTAGGGGAGATGAATAGTAATTAGGTGGTAAAAAAATAAATAGTCTACTCTAGGTGTTAGATATGTAATTTTAATAGTTTTAAGTGGTATGTATGTAAAAACTCCTAAAATTAAAGAAGCAAAAAATTGTAATCAGAAGAATATTTAAAAAAGAGCATAAACTCAAAAAATATTTTACAGCTTTTTGAAAATGCTAAAATATTTCACTTTCTGTCATTTTTTTTATCATTTTCTTAAAGGAAACACAAAAAGTTCTATGTTTTATTAAGCAATACAAGCGTTTTCCTAAAAAAAAAAAAGCAAAAATATTGTATATTCAAACAGATAACTCCAAGCGAAATGTAATTATATATTCTATTTTTTCTTCTCACACAACATATTGTAATTAAAAGGAACTTGCACTCGAGGAAAAGAGATGTGTGGTTGCGAGGTCCGAAAAAATGACATACATATTGAAGGTAGGAGAAGCGAGTGGACATGACGGAAGCTTTACCACATGTATTATCATTAATAATGTTCACATTAGGTATATATGCCCCCATTTTTGTGGACTTAGTTTAGAGGATGTGCAAGGCGGGGAACACATTTTTTACATCTACACCATAACATAATCACTTGGGTGAAAGATCTTGCAGCGAAGGCGAGTACCAACTAATTGCTTGTATTGTGCATTTGATGTGGCTAGCTTTGTGCTAACTTCTTCTAACATTGTTGTGAACGAGCCAGCCGTATTTGCAGAACAATTATTACGTCCTCCGACCGGACGTAGAGGAACGTCCGGTCGGAGGCAAATTCCCGTCAAATACCGAGTTGTACCGAGTAAACACCGAGCAATATCAAATAATAACGAGGAATAACATCATGTGAAGACCCAATACCGAGTTTTTTCGAGCTATCTTGAGCAATACCGAGTTATACAAAAGTTGTACCGAGTTTCTCCTAGAAAAAACTCGGTACAACTCGGTATTTCTCGATATAGCTCGGTATAACTCGGTATTGGTCTTCAAAGAGCGGTATTCATCGTTATTATCAAATAATACCTAGTTGTACCGAGAAAATACCGAGTTTTTTGGCAAAAATTTAGCTCCGACCGGACGTTCCTCTACGTCCTTGCACCGGATGTAATAAAAGTTCGTATTTGCAATAGTTACATTGCGGCATTTGGGAAGTATGGCCACATTTATCAAGTGATTAAGAAGCTTGGTGTACACGATGCTGAATGGGCATTTTCTCGTGGATCTATTAGCCATAGAGTTATAAGCAAATTTGGCTTGGCACAGAAAATCATCCCACTATTTTGAATGGTCTTGAGCATGATACCTTAACATATTACAGAGAGTTCGGTTCACAACTTCGATTTGGTTGCCCGACGAATGTTGGTAGGTTAAACGAAATTTGATTTTAGTATATGATGCGTACTAACAATCTAAAGACTAAGCTTCTTGAACTTGGGAGAAGGGACCTAGTGCGAGGTATGAACTCATGCATGGCTAACCATAGAGAGTTATGACAAGACTTACATCCTCTATATATAGGATGCCTACTAACAATCTAAATGTATTTAAAGCTATGACCCTGGGTCTTATTAAATAATAAAATGATTTTTATAAAGGAAGATGCATATAAGGGTCTATAATATAATGAGAAAGAAATGCAAAAATTCTAAAATTACAAAGTGACATGTCTTGATATTATGTAGGGTTGTCAAAACTGGGTCACGGGTCGGGTTCGAGTCCAACCCGAAATTGACCCGACACTATTCAACCCGACCTGAATCCGACCCGTTTTTGTAAACGGGTCGGTTTTCCGAACCCGAACCCGACCCGCTTCGGGTCCGGGTCAACCCGAACCAGACTCGATTCGGGTATATTTTATTAAATTTTTTTATTTAATTCCATTTATTTTAATCTAAATCAAATTAAGGTAAGATTTAATTCAATTAATTTAATTTGGACACTAATGTTTATAATTTTTTGAAATATAATTTACTTATTTCATAAAAATCCATTAAAACCATTCTAAATTAATTAAAAACGGGTCAAATCGGGTTGATTTCGGGTTTCCGGGTCAACCCGAACCAGATCCGGTTTTACAAACAGGTCGAAATCCCTAACCCGAACCCGAAATTTTTGGGTCGGCTTTCGAATTTCGGGTCGGGTCAAATATTGACACCCCTAATATTATGCAATATGAATGAATCAACTAAGCTCGTATTAATAGATTTTATTTGTATATGTTAAAGATGTGTGGCCAAATGCTACCTCATCCCTCACAAGTTATAAAAATATTATAATTGTTCATTTCAATTTTTGTCAAGACGACTTGTTAGGTTTGACTCATATGATGGAGATTGGTTAAAGACATATTACATAATAGGTCATCTGATATAAAAGAGCAAACGGGTTCCCAACAACTATGCCAACATGATAAGTTGACTCAATGATATAATTTACATATCTAACACTTAAAATTTTAATATTTTATGTCATATATCTATATTTATTTTATGAGTGGTATGTACTTAAATCTTAAAAAAAAAAATAAAAAAACAAATTGCCCAGTCAACACATTCTCTGTCTATTTCGCCTGGACGGTTGTGCTCTCCTCCCAGATTCCTATTTCCCTTCTTTACAGAATCAATGCCTTCCATAATCGCACATTCGCACCTATGCCTTCTCTGCCGGCCGGCCCGGCTGTCCCCCTCCTCTTCCAACTCATTCTCCTCTTTCATCTACCAACCGATTCTGCAAACACCCATATCATGACATACTGTTCTCAAGACAACTTCACATCCTCAAACCCCTATGCCTCAAATCTCCAACTCCTCCTCTCCAACCTCACCGCCTCTGCCCCGACATCGTCAACCCTTTCTTCCACTTTCTCCGTCGGCAACTCCCCCATCACCCAAATCTTCGGCCTTTCCCAATGCCGCCCGGACGTCTCCACCGCCATCTGCGCCGACTGCCTCTCCGACGCAGCCGCGACAGCCACTGGAAACTCCTCAGAAGGTTGCGGAAACCACAAGTCAGCCACTCTTCGCTTCGATTACTGCTTACTCCGCTACTCGGATGGGCCATTCTTCGGTATCCCTGACATGACCGTGTTCATGTATGCTTTGAGCGTGTATAACACTTCGAATCCCACTGTGTTTGATAGCCAGTTGCATAGTTTGTTGAGAGGCTTGTCGCTGAAGGCCGCATCCGCCACGTCGAGGTTTGCGGTTGGGATGAGGACGTCTGAGGATATGGATAATATTTACGGGATGGCGTGGTGCACGCCTGATTTATTTTCTGGTGACTGCGAGGAGTGTCTTTTTGCCGCTGCTCGCTTCCTCAACAGCTTGAAAATTGGGGGCAAGGTTTCTTCCCAGAGTTGTATGGTGAGGTATGAGGTTTTTTTATTTTTTTCGTTGGATTTGTTGTCAGCGATTCCGCCCCCGGCCGTGACGCCTGCCGAGGCGAAGGAACCGAAGGCGAAGACGTTGGAGCTAGACAATGGAGTTGCGAACTCCGGACGAAAAGGTGAGTTTTGTATTTGATGCATATTTCTTTTTATGATTGATATATCAACAAAAAATTCTATTGATCGGGCACGAATCTCGAGGCAAAATGAGGCCGGAAACTTCAAAAATTAAATTTGGGATCACCTAAACTCTTATTTCAGTGAACTTACAGTCAAACTGAGTGTCACCGAAATAAAAACCCAATGACACCAAATTTAACTCAATCTGAGCCCAAATGAGTCCAAATCAGGGACCCGAAGCGCTGTTGAAAAATTCGAACCACAATTTGAGTTACCAAACGGTTTTCAAATATAACATGTTTATAGTCGAATCGATCGGCTCGACGAGACAAATCAAACGAGCCTAAGATCGCTGAATTCTGACATCACTAAGAATTTCAAATGTTTGACGAACGGTACACGATCAATATCGGCCGTCCATCCAACCACTCCACATTTACCTCTGATCTCTCACCTATTTATAGTCCATGCCCATAATATCTATAAATAGACCCTCATTTATCTTGAGAGGGGACCCAAGCAAGAAGAAGAGGAGAAGAAGGAGAAGATAAGAGAAGAAGATTAGGAGGGAAGAAACACCTCCTCGACCACCATCGCTGGAATTCTGTCGGAATTCCGTCTGACTTCCAAGTGATGCTGGAATTTGGCCCGACTTCCAAGGGATGCCGGAATTCGGCCCGACTTCCAAGTAATGCAGGAATTTCACCCGATTTCCATGGGACGCCAGCATTCTGTCCGATCTCCAGGTGACTATGGAGTTTTGCCCGAATACATTCTAACGTCGGAGTTCTCCTTGGCTGCCGACAACAGTCTTTCCGACCTCTGTTGCCTACCGACTACGGTCCTCCTGACTTACGTCGCCCACCGACTACAGTCCTTTCGACCTTTGTCGCCGCCGACAACGGTCCCTCTGACTTACATCGCACACCAACTATAGTCCTTCTGACCTCCGTCGCTCACCGACTACGATCCTTCTGACTTATGTCGCCCACCAACTACAGTACGTTTGACCAAATGAACACGTAAACAGTAGCTCTTTGTATTCCCATCATATAATGTACTGCATATGATGTACATAGATCAAAGGCCTTCTCCCCAAGGAAGGGCCTCATTTGTAATCAACTACAAATACTAGTGGATTCATTCAAACTAGGCTAGGCCTCGTGGTTTTTCCCCCTTTTCAATGGTTTTCCACATAAAAAAATTGGTGTCTCATATGAATGCTACACCCTCTCTCTTATCTTATTGCGTGCCGAATTTTCGTACAACGCTAAGACGTTAAACTTTATATTTCTCTACCGCCGGGAATACTCCTAGACGCAACAATGATTATTTCGTCTGCCTAGCTCTTATTTAAGAAGGAAATATCAAATATCAGTAGCAATTTCATTAACTTAAGAAACGTTCTGAAGAACACCAAAAACATAACCGAGAAGTACGTCAAATGCTAAAGCAGCGTTTGTTATATTGTTTTGATAAAATCTATAAAACTGTATTCATTAGAAACAATAATTAATTAGAAAAAAAAGTTTCAGCAGAAAACAGAGAAGAAGAAAATACTGAAGGGTTTCTTCATTGCTCCAGTAAAGCTTCTTTTTCACCACTTCTACGGTACATTGATTTCAGTTTTTACATGAAGAGATATCCTCTTCAACGGTAGAGATTTCACAAGCTATATTAGATGAATGACTGATAGTGAATGAGTAAAAACAGCTGCTGTTACAGCAAGGAAGTGAAACGCAAATCAACAGAGAATAATTTCTGTATTTGATGGTTCAATTATGAATTGTTAATTTGGAGCTCAAAAGTTAAAACTTGAAAGTAGAAAGCGGGTTTGTAAAAATATCAGCTGGTTGATCATGTGTTAAGATATGATGAACCACAATAGTTTGGGACTGAATGTACTTACGAATAAAGTAGTGATCAATCTCAATATTCTTTGTTCTAGCATGAAAAGAGGGTTGTGGTCTACTGAAATTGCAGAGACGTTATCACAGTAAAGAGGTGTAGGCGTAGTAACTGGGACATTAAAATCTTGCAACAAGCGATAGATCCATATGATCTCCATAGCAGTGGAAGATAGAGCTTTGTATTCGACTTCAGTGGAGGAGCTAGCAATTGTGCTGCTTTTTAGCTGAGCAGGAGACGTGTAGTGCCAATGAAAATACAATATCTAGATGTGGGTTTCCAATCAACTGAATCACCAACCCAATCGGAATCGGCAAATGCAGAGCTAAAATTTTTATGGCTGTATAGGTAAGCTGAAGGCCATAGTGCCTTGAATATATCAGAGTACGCTTGAGCATAAGAAAATGTATTTGTTGAGGTGAATGCATAAATTGACTTAATTTGTTGACAGTAAAGGAAAGATCTAGCCTGGTTATCATCAGATATAAAAGGGATCCAACTAAAATTCGGTAGAGTTTAAAATCAGTGAGGTGATCTGAAGCATTTGAAATAGTAGGACATTTAAGTGCAAGCGGTGTAGCCACCAGTTTGCATTCCGCCATGCCAACCTTTCTTAGAATATTTGCAGCATAAGATTGTTGGCGATGCCTAGAAACTGAGAGGGTTGGCCATGTAGCTTGACCTGAAAACTGGAATGCATATCCTTAAACAAAGTAGAAATGTGAGTGGAATTGTTTCCCGCTACTAAGATGTCATCAACATAGATAACTAGATAAATATAGATATTCTGCTATTTGTAGATGAAGAGAGATGGATCAGCTGCTTTAGTATGAAAATTGAAACCCAATAAATGATCAGTGAATGTGGAAAACCATTCATGAGACGCTTGCTTAAGACCATACAACGCCTTATTTAGACGACAAACATGAGAAGGAAAATTTGGGTCTTGAAAACCAGGCGGTTGCTTCATAAAGACAGTGTCCGATAATGTTCCATGTAAAAATGCATTGGACACATCCAATTGATGAATTTGCCAATAAAAGTGCAAGGCTAGAAGGAGAAAATGCGAATAGTAGACAATTTGGCGATGGGACTGAATGTGTCATGAAAATCAATACCATATTCCTTTGTATTACCTTGAGCCACATGACAGGCTTTTTGTCGAGTAACAGACCCATCCACATGATACTTTGTTTTAAACGGCCACTTACAACCAAGTATATGTTGAGATAGGTGAGAAGGAACTAACTTCCACGTTCCTTACATTTGTAATGTTTGAAACTCTTATGACATTGCATGAAGCCAGTGAGGAGATTTAACTGCAGCTGAGTATGAGTTTGGATATGAAGAGTCAGTGAGCTGGTGGGAAAGGTTTAGTATGTTGCGTGGTTTGAGGTGGCTAGTTTTAAACCGAGTGAGCATAGGATGCAATGCAGGGGCAGGAATAGTAGCATCTGATGGTGTAGAAGCTGTAGCAAAAGTGGGGGCGAGGAAGCTGAAATTTCATGCGAGTTGTTATGCAGATCTGTGGAAGAGAAGGGTGTAGCCTCGAGAGCAGTGGAGGATATAGAAGTAAGAATTATGGTGGAGAAGGAAGACACGAGCTTGGAACCAATGAGAGAGGAGTAGTGAGAGCGAGCATTGCGTCTTACCATAATAAACTGCCTCTTATAAAATACAATAAAAATATATTATATAAAATAATAATTATATTCAGATATCAGAGGGTTGAAAGGGAAAAACATTTTATGAAATTTGACATGCGGGATGTAATAATTTTTCCAGAGGCAGGATTTAAACAGAGATATCCTTTATATTTAGGAGAATATCCAATAAATATGCAAGGAATGGAAGTTGGAGAAAGTTTGTGTTTAAGATTAGGTGGAGACAACGGATGCATATGCATCCAAATATATGGAGATGAGAATATTATGGTGGTTTACGATGCAGCAATTGGTATGGAGAAAGCTTGGAAGTAGTTGGAGAGGACATAAGATTGATAAAATAAACATCCGTTAATGTGGCATGTGCACAGAAGGAATAGAGAATTTGTGCATCTAATAGGTGGGCACGAGTTGTTTCAATTATGTGATGTTGTTTGCGTTCAACAACTCCATTTTGTTCAGGAGTGTAAGGGCAACTTATTTGGTGAGCTATATCATGTTGGGCTAGATAAGATTGAAATTGAATTTAGTTGAATTCACTTCCGCCATCAGTTGGAAGTATGAGTATAGATTGACCAATTTGTTTTTCTACCATGTTTTTAAAATTACAAAATGTAACAAAGTTTTCTGATTTATTTCGTAAGATAAAAAGTCAAGTATAACGAGAGAAATAATCAATAAACAAAACATAGCAATGACCAATGTTGTTTACCTACTATGATGACTATTGACTTCATCACCTATTATTGCTAATTATGCCAACATAGGTTTTCACTTATAAGATATGTACATTCTATCAACACCAACTTTTACTCTCTTCTTCAACACTAGAATTTATGTTGGATTTTTACCACCTTGGTTTTCCAACTTCAACCATGTAATATGATGTTCGCAGTGTATTAGCAATGCCTTCTCCTTAGGAAGAACATCTTTTGTAATCAATGATAAACGATATTAGAATCATTTTAACTAGGCCATATCCCATAGTTTTTCCTTTTATTGGTTTTTAACGCAAAAATTCTAGTATATATTACAATTCTTGCGTAGCAAATGATTAATAATTTATGAGTTAATTATAAATACGGAGTAATTTTGATACACATTGAAATTGCCCTAATATGGCATGAATCTTGAGACATATTTGAATGAAAACTTTCAAAATTAAATTCAGGGCCACAATCCTTAGATCACTTTATGCTAACCACGGGTCGACTACGATCCTCAGATCACCTTCTCTGGACTTCAATTTTTCGACCATCGTTGCCCGACTACTGTCCTTTCAACCTCCGTCGCCCTGCCAACTATAGTCCTATGACCAGATCACCAGATTATGGTCCTTCCACCTTCATTTCCTATTGAATACAGTTCTTCGATCACCGTGGTCTGATTGACTGACTGCCATCACTTGATTATGACTCTTCATCCACCGCCACTCGACTACAATTCTCTGACCTACAATCTCCCAACTAAGTGATGCCTAGGTATTTTGATGCCTAGTGACTTCTTTACCTAATATTGCTAATCATGCCAATGCAAGCCATCGTTTATAAGATCGATGCATGCTATCAACATCAACTATGACTCCCAATATCAACAGTAGGATCTATGTTGGATTTCTACGGCAGGGCTCTTCCAACTTCAACCAAGTAATATACTCTTCACATTGTATCAATGCCTTTTTCCAATGAAGGGCAGTATTTCTCATCAATGACAAATGATTGCAGATTCATTTTGACAGGGCAAGACCCTATGGTTTTACCATTTCCTGAGTTTTCCACTCAAAGGAAACATTGGTGCCTCTCTCAATTATGGTTCTCTTTTATCTATGTGTGCTAGCTCTTCACGCAAAACTAAGACGTTAAACTTTCTATATCTCTACTACCGCAAATGTCCCGACAAGTAAGAAATTTATTTTTTATTTTGACTTTCTAGCATTCAAATTTATTTTAAGAAAAATGGATCTCATTTTGAAAGAATTAAAAGATCTAGCCATTAAAAATATAAAATAAAAAAAAGCTCCACATATTTATTGCATAGAAAAATTAAAATGATGTGTATGTACAGATTGACTATTATGCGGGAGAAAGGGAAAATAATTGTCCAAAAAATAAACTTCTCAAATGTGTCTTATAATTTTTATTTTAAATTGAAAATATTGGAATAGGTGATGATTGGTGTAGCATCATTTATTCATTTGCATTTTCAACAAAAAAGCAGGCGAAAATTCCATCTGATTGTATGATTTTGTTGAACTTCAGCTTCTCTGTCTTTTTTTGTTATTATCCCTTTTTTTTGCATGAATAATTAAATATTTCATCACTTTCTAACAGCTTTTAGAATACTTATGGGACTTTTTAGACTTATTAGGCTTCATTTGGGATAGATTTCTTATTGATTTTTAAAGCAACTTTTTAGTATAAAAAATTTTTATATAAGACATTTTTGTACTAAATAACTGTTTCAGAAAACAATAAGGAAGTTGTTCCAAATGGAGCCTTAGTCTTGCTGTCCTTGTTTAAGAAGTGTCAACAACACCTGATAAAAGATCATGAAATTAGATATCTGTTTTGTACAATAGATAGTAAATACCTTTTCTCCCAATCTAATTCAGTTAATATGGGTTTTTTTCTTCATACAGAAAAAAATAAAACAAACAAGATTATTTTGCTAATTGCAATCTTTGGAGTTGTTACGACATTGACTCTCACTGCAATATTAATAATTTTTCTGATACGGAGTAAAGCTCTGCAGAGAATAAGAACACGTAAGATTGTTGGTTTCCTCATTTCTTCAATATTTTCTGGATATTATTAGTTGTAAGATGAAAGTGAAAATTAATATTTGGAACTTAATCTAGGATTTTGGATTAAGAAGGTGGATCTTAAGAACAGTGCTGATTCTCTATTATTTGAATTAAGTGTAATCAGAAAAGCCACAAATAATTTCTCAAAGGAAAATAAGCTGGGAGAAGGTGGATTTGGACCAGTTTACAAGGTATTCTTGCAAATAAAATGAGCGGAAATTTGGCTTGTTCATAATTTTTTTTAGGCAAATAACTAATTCTTTCTTTAATTAAATCTGAAATAGGGACTGCTCGCAGATGGGCAACAAATAGCAGTGAAAAGACTATCAGGAACATCAAGGCAGGGACTTGCTGAAATGAAAAATGAGGTGCTTTTTGTTGCTAAGCTTCAGCACAGGAATCTTGTAAGATTGATGGGTTGTTGCCTTGAGGAGAATGAGAAGCTCCTAGTTTATGAGTATCTCCCTAACACCAGCCTTGATAAATTCCTATTTGGTATGTCCAACTCTACTGATGCGTAACTCTTTTTGGAAAAAAATTCTATCAGATTATAAGGATATAGGATGAATCTAATTTCATTACATATTCCTAATTTCATGAGCCACTTATTATCTCTCAATGCATCTAAATTATTAGACGATACAACTAAATTTGAAAAAAAAAATAAAACTAAAATATAGATAACAAAACAAAACTATTTATGAATATACATTTTTTGTTATGAGTATAATTTTGAATGTATAATTGTTTCGTTATGTTTGAGGAACGACATGTGATGCATGAAATCAATGACGTGTATAATAAAATAGTTCCATTTTGATACTAAATGTATTAGGATATCTTGATAGAAATTTTTTCTAATTTTTGCATCTAAACAAAAAAGCACCTCTGCTCATGCCTAGTAATACAAATGAATGCATATGGAGAGAATTCCTATAGGGAACTCCTTATGAAAGTTCTTTAGGAAATTCCTCTAAAAGTGACCATGTAACTCTTTTTGCATTTAAATTTATGCATTTTTAAGAATAAGTCTACCAAGGATTGACTTTTGAATTTTTTCATATTGAGATTTATACATCTTCAAGATCAAGTTCAGATCAGCAAAATTTTTTTGATAGATCAAAACTTTATGAAATTTGATAATAAATTTGACAGCAAAACGGCCTTTTGTGACTTTTTTGAGGGATTTCTTACAAAAAATTTTAATAAAAGAATTCTTGTTTATGAATAGTTTGTTCATTCAAACTTGATTATTTATTTATATTATACTGTTAAATATTCATTATATTGTTTCTACAACTGCTTATGGTTTTATCCATTTTTATTTTCTTAAGTAATATGCGGGTTTTTGATAAATTTGACAAAATATACGGAAACAGATCCTGCAAGGAAAATGTTTCTGGACTGGGAAACAAGGTTTAAGATCATCGAAGGAATTGGGCGGGGTCTTCTTTATCTGCATGAAGATTCACGTCTTAGAATCATACATCGAGATCTTAAAGCAAGCAACATTTTATTAGATGCGAACATGAATCCTAAAATTTCGGATTTCGGCCTTGCAAAACTCTTTCCCATTGATGAAACACAAAGAAATGCCAGTCACATTGCTGGGACATAGTAAGAAAGCTGCTAGCTCTTGAATAGTAATCTCATACAATGCAAATCATTTTCCTATTAGATTTCATTCTATTTTTTCTCCATGCAGTGGATACATGGCACCAGAATATGCATTACATGGCCTCTTTTCCACAAAATCTGATGTGTTCAGCTTTGGCGTTCTAATACTTGAGATCATTACTGGAAGGAGAAACAACAATTTTCAAGGTTCAGATCATGCAATGAACCTTCTAAGCTATGTAAGAAGCTGGCATTTTGTTTTGCCGAAATGATCATTTGATAACTCAATTTGAATCCATCTTTTGTGTTTTTTGCATGTAGGTTTGGCAATATTATAAGAAACAAATGGCAATAAAAGTTGTTGATCGAAGTCTATGTGATAAATTTCAATCACAAGAGGTATTGAAATGCTTACATATTGGATTGCTTTGCGTAGAAGATAACCAACGTCTGAGGCCAAATGTGGCCTCATTGGTTATGATGCTTAGCAGCCAATCTGTGGTGCTTCCGTCTTTGACGAAGCCGGCCTTCAGTGGTGATGCGAGCATTTCCAGCGAAGATTTTTCTGTTGCGAGCATAGATCTTGATTCAACAAAGCTGAATGAGAAAATGGATGGTGTTTCAGGGAAGCAAGCTGATGATCATTCAGGTTTTTCTAGGAACAAGTTCATGCAGAGGTTTGCTAACTATACATCTGCTTCGTCTTCTGTAAATGACGTTACCATCACTGAAATGGAAGTTCGGTAGAAATTTTTGGTTCATACTAGCTTGTTCATATTTTAACTTTTTTATGTTAGAGAAATGCACGATTTAACATCTACTAAATGACTATTTGATGAACGAGAACTAACTAATAATAAAGTTATCAAACGACACAATCAAATAATAAAGTTTGTTAACTCTTCCTTTTGAGTTTTAGAGTAGTATCCTTCCTTTTGGTTAGCATGTGGTGGTATTCGATTACTTTTCGGTTAGTCTTCATGTGTTCTTCCACAATTCTTCAAGACTATAACGTCCCTCTGAGATCTAACATAATTGCCCTCTACCCCTTTAGATCCCATTAATATCCTCATCATTTGGTGTCTCCTTATTCATCATTTGACTTCCATTACTATATTTATCAATGGCATTACCAATTTATGGATTGTTTCTATTCCTCCACTTCTAAATCTTGTTGAGATAACCCTACTAACTAGCTCCTCATTAGATTCATCCACGAAATATCTCATAGATAGCAATATTATTTCTCCACTCTCATGCATGTAGAAGTTTGCCACATCTTGTCAAGATCTCGCAAATTTCATCGGTCTTCCTTTCGCCTAATCATTGTCTTGTGGCTCAATCCATCCTATAACGGGTTAAGCGGGTTATTAGTTAAATAATGATAATAGGTCATCTTAGTTGTGTTAGGAGTTAATATATATTTAATGAGTGAGTCTTCTTACTTATATAACTAACTCTCCTTGTGGACAAATAGGACATCAATGAAGAAATGACCAAGTTCCTTTATGATTCTCTTTTTATGAAATCCATATTCTAAAAAGTATATAGACTTCAAAGGATTATTAGCTTGCTAATTCCCTTTATTTCTTGAATCAAGTCCAAGTCATAGGTTGCCAGAGACAGCTCTTCTGCAGACCTAAACAACATTAGATTCAGTCTAATGTTTATCTTATCGATATAATTTTTTTCTTGATAAAAAAGTTGGGCATTGAGCTCTTCTCATTGAGACAAGAAAAATAAAAATAATATATCTTTAGTAATTGTAAAAGGATTACTGAGTACCACTTGATCTAGACGGCCAAAAATAAAGAAAGCAAATTAGAAATCATAGCCAATATCATAAAATATATTTAAACCAAAAGATTAGGTGTCTCAGAGGCCAAAAAAAATCATTTGTTTGATCACAGACATGATCAATTTTCTGAAACTCTCAATCATGAAGATATTGTCCTCTTTGGCCTCATAGTTTTACGATTTTGTCATATTGATGTAGTTTTTCAGGAGTTCATCCATTCTAAAAGTGCTTTGATACGAGCCCACTTATCTTTGAAATTTCTAATAAAATTTGAGTTTTGTTTTGGTTTTATTAAACGATTTTTCATTCTTCACATCTTTTAGCCTCCCATTTTGGTTGATGTGAAGCATTCTGGTTGGTCTCCGTACGACATTCGGCGTCCGTACAGAATAATTAATCCTCCATCGGTGTATCAAATACTCTTATGAATAGCGCATCAAATAATCTTTCGTGAAGTTGAAATTTATGAAGATGCCGCATATTACTTATCCAAAAATATTAATCCTTTTTCTTGGAATGCCTTGCTTTTAAAAGATAGAGAACAAAGTTTATTCTGAAATTGAGCTGGTCATGGAAGCATTATAGTCATGTGACTTAAATTAATATCTATGAAGGACGAGCCTCAGCCATGTGGACGCAGGACGTATGCTCATACCATTCAAACTAAGCTAAAATAAATGGCTGGTCGGCAATTAAAAGCAGCCAGTTGGATAGAATAAACTAGAAAGTCTCAGTCAATTAACTCTTAATTAATCTTTGGATTCTATACTACGATGCGGATTAGTGCTAAATGCACGCTTAAAAGCATATTAAGGCTTCGTTTGTTTTTTTGGTGCTTTTGTAAAAGATAATTTTAAAAAATATTAGTTCAGAAAATGGAGTTTTCTAACGGAGAAGCATATATAAAAAGCTTTCTCAAAACCGCAGAAAAATGGAAAAAAGGAGTTATTAAGAACATGATTTGAAGAACCAAACAAAAAAAAAAAAAAAAAATATAAAAAAAATCATCATATAATTTACTCTATAAGTAGAATAAACTAGAAAGTCTCAGTCAATTAACTCTTAACCAATCTTTGGATTCTATACAAAGATGCGGATTAGTGCTAAATGCACGCTTAAAAGCATATTAAGTAAGTCATTGAGCAGTGTCTTGGTTTGTTAGTTTGAAGTCGAAATTTGTATTTACACATTGATATATGATAAAAGGTTTACTAGAACGGCCAAATTAAAAGATTTAGAACGGCCGGCTGATAAAGGCTAAGATTTCATTTGGAATAGTTTTTTTTTGCTGATTTTTAAAATTATTTTACATTAAAATTATTTTATAGTGTAAAATTATTTTAAAATAAGCAAAAGACGAATTGGTCAAAAGTTATCTCGAATGAAGCCTAAACATAAGAGAATTGCTTATTGATTGAAATGAAGATGCGATCAAGAGGGTTAGCGCTTGTTGCGTGTTGAATATTCGTGACGATAGAAAGTTATAGAGTTTAGCTTTTAAGCTTTGTAGGAAGATCCATCACACATTCATATAAGAGAGAGAGAGAGGTGTAGCATTTTTTACGTAAAAATTCCTAAAAAGGGAAAAACCACGGCGCCTTGCCCAATTTGAATTAGGGTTGTCAAAATAGGTGTTCGCGTCGGGTCTGGGTTTAACCCAAAATTTACTAGCCTTCAACTAATCCAACATGAACCCGACCAAATTAGGCAAACATGTCAGGAATTCAAACCCAGACCCGACCCGACAGGTTAGCAGGCAAATGAGGGTGCGGGCCAAGAGGTGAGCGTGGATGCGTGATGCTAGCGAGGTCAAGTTATCGGGTATGTCAATAATTGACACGCCTAGTTTGAATGAATCTACCAGTATTTGTTATTAATTACAAATGATGTCCTTTTTTGAGGAAAGGTGTTGGCTCAATGTAGTAAATATACATCATATAGAATGTTTTACATTGTTGGGGCTAGATGAATCCTATGACATGAGATTTATTCTCAAGAGAGTGTTAGCCTATTCGTTTGGTTGATAGGGTTGTATTTGGGCGAAAGAGATCTAAGGGACTGTTGTTGGCAAATGATGGAAGGAGGGAGGACAGTAGTTGGGTGACAGTGGTCGAAGGGACCGTAGTCAGCTGGCAATGGTGGTCAAAAGTACCTTGGTCGGGCGACCATGATCGAAGGGATTGTATACGGATGACGAATGGAGATCAGAATGACCACAGTCGGACAATAATGTCGGAGGGACCATAGTCGGGGGTGACAGGGATTAGAAGGATCTTAGTAGGCTATGGAGGCCGATCAGAGATCCGGTGGTGACCGTCGGATGGATGTTCGACAACGATGGTCAGGCGAAGGTGGTCGAGTTGCGTGAGTTCGTCAACGATGATGCTGAGCTGGAGCTTCGGGATTCTTCAAACCTCAAAGCTCTCTTGAATCTCTAGCCCATGATCAAAGCATTCTCGAAAAGCCCACGCCCTTTTCATGTAGGAAGAGGAGATCCATTTATAGATTTTGATAGTGTCATATCCCATAAATATGGAGAAGATTAGGGACAATTTTGGAGTGTTCCATCGGATAGTCGTTACTGCTTCCCTCAATTATAAAGTGTTTGTCAAGCATTTAAGCACCTTAATGATGCCAGAATTAAGTGATCTTAGGCTAGTTGGATTTGTCTCGTCAAGATGCTCGATTTGACTATAAACATGTCATATTTGGATTTCATATGGTTATCCAATTAATGCTTTGAAGTTTTCAAATATGTTTTGTTCATTTGATTTGAGCCCATTTGAGCTCGGATTGGACTGATTTCTGTGTCGTTGGGATCATTTTGTCAAGTTGGTTGGTTTGATTATAAGTTTGCTGAAATTGGAGTTTGGATAGCCCTAAATTTAATTTTGAAAGTTTCTAACTTAATATGCCTCAAGATTCGTGCTCAATCATTGATTTTTTATGACGTATGAAGGCTACAAATAAATCGAGTTGAATTAGGGCTATTTAAGTTTGTGCTCGTCTACTCGACCTTGCTTCGAACTTTTATGACAATGTTCAATTTTGATTCGTTTAAATTCATACTTTCTCAAACTCCAAGCCTAATTCCTTCTATGCTTATCGGGTTTTACACATGTAACTCATTAAAAATATAAACGAGCCTTTTCGAGACGAGGTTTAATAAGTCTAATTTATTGAATTAAGAAAAAAACAATAATAAATTTAGGCTCAATATTTAATACTAAATTTAACTTTTAAATGATGTGGGACTATATACTTATATAATACTTCTCAACAACCATCCAACCACTTCTAATTAACCTAATATTCATATGTACTTGCTCAAACTCAGCTTAAGTCCAATTTTTTTAATGCTTATCGAGTTTTACATAAGTAACTCATTAATCGAGTTTCTCAACGACCTTGTCTACGAGCTTTAAACAATACTTTTCATGGTTATAAAGAAATCAAGAAACAAGTTATTCAAATTTTTTCGCTTGACAACCGATTATTCATACAAGTGTTCAAATTTGTTTAATTGCTAATCAAACAATCATTAAAAAGCTGTAATCAAGTCGAAGCGCGAATAACTCGTCAAACATTCAGTTCATTTGCAACCCTAGCCATAGCTCGTCAAACCTTCAAATTTTTTTATTTATTTTTCATCAAAAAAAGGATTTTGTTGTTTATAAAACATTGTATTTTTTTTTTTCTTAGGATAATAATATAGTAAAACTTACATAAATGACGACAACCGTTTCTCATATTTATAAAAATGAGCAATCACTCCTCACACAAATGTCTGTATTTGAAACTCAAATACTAAAACACTTTATCTACTTCATTAGTAAGATTGACAAATGGCATTTCATTTGCATTTGCAAGAAGTTTGATATTGGCTCATTCTATGCGTCAGCTAGATGCTTCAATTGAAATATAACTTATTCTAATTGTTGAAGTACTGTCATCTGCTATGAA